TTATTTTGTTTTGTTGTTGTCCTGGAATCGAATCTCGCAGGGGGCGAGGTCGTGGATGAGCACTGCGGAGGAGTCCCACAATAGGACGAAACGGCCGTACAGTGCTTCCAGGATTTCCATGGTGGTCTAGCTCCAACTGTTTCATGATCTTAACCATTGAAATTACTATAATATCTACAAAACTCATCTGATATTGTTGTTAATTGTTTACAACTTGTAATATCGATAAAATGGATTTCAGTTACTTACATGAAAGAGTTCAATTGAAAGTTGTTATGATCGCACATCAGTATGGTATAGAGAAGGTGAAAATAATTGTAATAGTTTAAATGATATATTATAAATACACATATAGCGTATGTAAAAGGATATTCTACAAAGTTTATAGTAACAAAAGCCCAAAAGACTAGAAACAAGTTATTACGTAATAGGTAAATACTGACAATAAGTACGAGTAAAACATACTTAATTGCAATGAAATTACTAATATAGATGACAATTCAAATGTAACAACGTAATGATGCAGTTAACTAAAGCTGAACGTTATTATTACTTCATGTTGGAACTTTAAGAATAGGTGACTATTGCCCAAGACATTGATTCATCTTTAACACTTAATACACAAAAGTAATGACTATTTCACTTTTAATATAAATATATTTTAGTAATTTAATAGTTGAGTCAATCAGTTGATTAAAGCTAGATCACCATGAAAAACCTGGAAGCACTGGACGGCTGCTTCATCATAGTATGGGACTCACCAGCAGTGTGAATTCACGATTCCACCTCGCGATATTCGAATCCACGACATATTTTAAACAATTTAAAAACCAAGTATCGTTTAGGAAGTTTTAAACGAAGGTTTAATAAATGATATTTATGGAAATTCAACTTTGAACATTATCAAATTTTTTTTAGATTTTGAAACTAAAATCCTGATGAAGAGTTAGTAGGAATCATTTGACTGAAATAAAAATAAGTTAAAACTACATGTTTATTTTAAACGATGTAAAATATAGTATTATTTACTTAAATGTTTCCATTGATGTTTAAGACTGCATTTGATTAGTGCGAAGATTCTAGTGAATTTAAGCTTTACACTATTGTATAAGTAAGTGGCTATCAGGACTCAGCAACCAAGTGAATAACGTGAAAGCATTTGAAGCGAACGGTACCGGGTTTTAGCCTTAGAGTGAACATCAACTCTGATATGCACGTATATCTAGCTGGCGAGTTTTGAATAGAACGAAATTTGCATCCTGAATTCCACTACTAGCCAATATCCATCTTTGCTTATAATGTAATTTATAGTTTAATGAGTTTGACTTAAAAGTAATTTTCATTTAACTAGACAGTTTTCTTCATATTTAAGTAACAATGTAAACGGTAATGAAATTTATGAGGACTGTCCACGGGTGAACTCGAGGAAGCTGTAAAAAGCTCAGAAAAAGTCGAAGATATTCCATCCAATCATCTTTTGGAAGGATATTCTAGAATCTCTACGTGTAGCTTCCCGATCGGGCAATGCTAATAGCCCCCTGTGTGCGGATTGGTTAGCTACAATGATGATTTCGTTTTAACGAAAAACTATAAATACCTGACAGTTTTGTACTATAATTTGACACTGTCTGGAATAATATTCCTTTCACTAGTCTTCTGTTTTCTCATTGCGACTTGGAAGGGTTTTAGCGTTCTAGTGCTCAAGTTATACGCGGTATACCAAGAATATAAGCCCTAGATATAACAGTATTAAAAGGTGCCACTGAAAAAATAAAATCTATAATGGTTGGATTCATGGGTCAATTAAAGCTAGATCACCATGAAAAACCTGGGTTCAAATCTTTTGGACGAGGTCAAGGATGCGCACTGTTGAGAAGTCCCATACTAGGAGAAAACGGTCGTCCAGTGCTTTCAGGTTTTCAGTGGTGGTTTGACATTCATCACAATGGTTAGTTTGATGGAATTTCTAATAATGTATCATATAGAGATAACTTAGAGCCGTATAAAGATTTATTTAATTTACTTAATCGAATAAAATTTCACATGCCATTAGTAAATATGACGTACGATATGAACCATTAATAATTAGTTGATTACTTGTCTAGTTTTGATGGAGTCTTGCTCGTTGAGTTGGATAGTTTGTGCTGATGATGTCGTTCAGAATAACGATGAAAGCTTCATGACCAAACCATCCAGCTGAGAGAACAAAACTCCAATAAAATCATCCGCCTGAGCTACAAATCTTCAACAACACTTATCTATCTAATATGATAAAACCTTCTAACTTCCTGATTATACTATAGATTTTATTACTTTTATATAAAATATGCTCTAAATTGGTTTTGCACTGCAAACACCATATGTGTTCATTTGTAATCTACCACTGAATTGAATAACGATTACCACATTTTCTGGAAGTGACTCTATTAGCTTATTGTTATCACTACATCTTTTTTAGTCAAAAGTCTTACTTTCATTGGCAAAAGTTAAACTATCTCTTTAAACACCTTAACAAATTATCACCTACCAAAAAATCCATTATCGCTAACAGATTAACCACTTTTATACAATTGCATCTTTTTCATTCATTCATTCTTTCTTTAGTACTAATGTGCTGTGCTACGGATATCGATATATAGAAGTAGTATGTATCACCAATCAAAAGTGAAATGCCTGGCGGCAGAAGGTTAGGCAAAGTGAAGGGAAAAGAACGAGAACAGAGAGTGGTTGGTGTGGAAACGAAGGAACAATCAAGTCTGAGACAACTGATTGACATTTTGCAAATAAAGTATATACTCCATAGTTCTCAGATTTTACCAAGACATTCTGTAGTTTTTTATTAAAATACATTTACATTTGGTCGTTCACCACTGGTGTTCTCGTTCACTACACTAATAGCTATATGATCACGATCTGAAGAGCTTGAAATATTTATTACCATAACTATTTTTATGTTTTATACTTTGTACAAGTGTAATCACTAAACACTTTATGTACAGTAGAAACAGTGTAAACATAACAGAAGCCTTTAAAATTATCAACAAGCAGTGAACACCAATTTATTCCACTTTGGAAACATCATTTCTATCAAGTTCTTTCGACCTAACTTTGCATACAGAAAGTGAATGTAGTGAATCTCTTATTACCATGGTAAAACAGTTATGTTGCTCTAACGTTTTATCAAGTACATAATCTCATTATTAATTATGTCATAACTTAAAAATAAATTCCCCTGATATTCATCCAAGATGTTACCTTGAATTTTATATAAACTAGATACCTTGATTTGTTACTCATTTGTTGATAATTTGTTTTTATTTATTGTCTTTTTAATATTGTAGTGAACAGGAGCACGAGTGGGGACAGAGCATCTCTATAAAATCTGAGAATCATCATAGTTAATCGGTAATTTGCAAAATATTAATCCATCATCTCAAACTTGACCGTTCCTGTCGCAAACATCAATCCATTGTCTCAGATTTCATTGTTCATACGTTTTCATACCAACTGCATTCCGTTTCCGTTCTTTCTTTATAGACCTTCTACTGAAATACATCCTATGTCTGACCACCGTTATATACTATTTATGTGGATATAAGTAACCCACACCACAATATCACTAACAACTTTAACGATTTCCTTATATGACTTCATCTTCAATAATATAAATGCTAATCGATCTTAACTATTTTATTAGATATGTTATTTCCTTTTGTTTTATTATTATTATTATTATTATTATTATTATTATTAGCAGCTTTATTCTATATATTTTTGGTACAATATAGAATGGTCAGCGCAAAGTATTTCAACAAGTTTCCGTTTCATATTTCATGATTGATCCTCACAATAAGTATTAAGTGATCACCAGTTAGATGTTACGAGGAGTCGTCAGAAATAAATATCTAAATAATGTTTATTCTTTTCGATACATATCGTCAGCAACCAAAATGTCGCTGATTGGGCGTTTTTATAACTTGTATAGTGAAAAATGGTAAACTTTTCATAAACTCATTTGAATAGGTTATGCGATTAATAAACATAATGATGTGTTAAGACAAACAAACATAAAAAGAGGTAACTTGTTGAAATATCTAAATGGCAGGAACAAGTACCCCAGATATTCACATACACCGTTGTTTTAAATTAAACTTCATTGATTACAGTATATAAAATGTTTTACAATAAAATAAATAATGTAAAATTGACCCGGTTTCATTGAATGTGTGGCCTTGAAATATTATGAATTCCTATTATTCTGTAAATCTTGTTCTCCTGGCTTAATTTCAATCTATGAATGAATGAAGCTGTTTAAAATATCATAACTAATAGTTTATAGTAAATTTAAGCTAAATAAAATTGACATTTTAAATAATCACTTGGAGATAAGTAAATATTACCCAGATATTAAAGTTAAATATAAAAATTATTAAATACTTATTTCACACATGAATAAATTTCTATCGTAGTGATTCCCAGTTTTTTTGTTTGTTTAAAAATTGAAATTGAATATCTAATTTGTTGTAGAATTCAAGCAGAAATAATATTTTAATGGTTGAGATCATGAGTCACTTGAAGCTAGATCACTATGTAAAACCTAGAAGCACAGGACGGCCGTTTCGTCCTATTATGGGACTCCTCAGAAGTGCACATCCACGATGCCGCTCGCGGTATTCGAACCCATACCCTTCAGTCTCGCTCACGAACGCTTAACTTCTAGACCACTGAGATTCAGTGTTCGTGTGCGAGACCAACAGGTCCTGGGTTCGAAGCTCGCGAGGCGGGATCTTTGATATGAGCTGCTGAGGAGTCTCACAACAGGACGAAGCGGACGATCGATGCTTGCAGGTTTTCAATGCTGGTCTAACATCAATCAGTTCATGATCTCAATCAAAACTTAACAATCTCCACAACCCCTATACCAATAAATAGTTTGGAGTAATATCTCTATAGTACTGAAAACAATGTACTTTAATAATAAATAATCACAAATCACTCACACTAATAAATATTGATTGGTCCACATTAGCTTCTTCAAATATAGTACCAAACTGAAATATTGGACAAAATCGATTTTCTGGATCAGTTTTATTATATAAACATGTACGAAGAAATTTTTTGGATGCCCAATTTTGAATGTTTCGTCTAGAATTAAAGAAAAAAATAATTATTATTATGAATAAACGAATTATTTTTGTTTTTCGATTCAAACTATTTCTTGCATAAGATTAATACAATGTATTACCATAAATTGAATCTAGAATAACATTATGAAATCCCAGATAGTGAGTTCATCTGGAAAAAAGACACAACCATAGGGTTAGGGTTAGGGTTGTAGCCTCTCGATAAACACCTCTTCCCTAAAATCCGTTGTAAACCAATCGTATGTTAGCACCCTAACCCCAACCTTAACTGTAACCCTAAACCCTAACCGTAACCTAACCCTAACTCTAAACACTAACCCTATGGACGAGTTTCTATACCTTTTGCATTATGAATTCAGTACCTCTGAACCTTTATCAAACCTTAACAAGTTTTTAAATCATGTAAAAGAAGAATATCTACTGTAATTCATTACTTTCTTATATTTTCGCTTTATACTAACTGTCTTCTGATTGGCTAATAATTGTCAAGGTCATTTAAGATTCGTTCAAAGGTCGTCCCCAAATTAGAGTCTCGCCATTATCAAAAGACTTGGCATAAATAAATAATACTCTGGTGTATGTTGCTTATGCTGACATATTTAAGTAGTATGGAGCACTTGTCAACAAAAGATTAAAATAAAGAAAATACAATATAAATAGTCTATAAACAACAGAACAAGGAAGAATCATGAAGTATGTAAAGTACAGCTGAAGGAAGATGTATAGAAAATGTATTTAATGTATGGTTTTCCCCACCTGAAATCTCGTTCAATACAATAGTTCAATGAAAACATTCTATTCATTACTATATGAAACGAATAAAAATACAACCTCATGTCAATGAAAGTTAAGTTATTTAATTAACAAATAAAATTAGAAGACTAATCTTTGGATGGAGAATATTCTTTTCAATAAATTCTCTTCAGGTTCTACAATTCATATATAATCCAAATTAATAAACTGGAAAATGGTCAGGTTAAGGGTAAAGTATATCGTTCAAAGTTAAAGCATGTGAATTTAGGATTGTTAAACAAAATACAATATAATTGTTAATGTTAATGACTTATCTAGAATGTTAAATTGAATTTGCATATATGTGAAGTGAAGATTTAAGATACATGATCCGAATAAATATGGGTCAGATAGGGTGACATCGAGGCTAAAAGATGAATCATCTAGAATGACCACTTCATTTTGTATTTATCAGTTCGACAGCTTCTGTGGAGCAAGTTATATTGGTGGAAGTCCTAGGAATCTACATGTACGTGCTTGAGAACACCTTCCAGAGTGGCTAAGTAAAGGTTTGGTGAAGAAAGTGAACAACTAGATATTGGCCCATTTAGTACGAACTGGTAATAGTGCCAGTATAATCCAAGCCTTTCAAATTATTTATAGGGTCAGTAATTTCTTACCAAGGCTTGTCAAACTTAAAGTCCTTTAAACGGTTGAAGGAGTAAACACCCGGATGAAGAAATCTGAGCTATGCATACAAAAGAAATATCTTCAACCATTCCTCCTTCCCTGGCCAACAACAAAGCCAACTAATCAATAGTAATCTTAGCTATTGAATGACCTAATTTGACTATTGTACTTACTACTTTTCGTAGTTCATTGTAATTGTCGCTGTTATCTTTATTCACAAATCCTTGCATTATTATTATTATTATTATTATTATTATTATTATTATTATTATTATTATTATTATTATTATTGGTTAAACATTATTAATCTACCCAATGCACGAGGTGGTGGAGAAGATTTGTAGCTCAGGCGTTTTGTTTTCTGATCTTGATTCATTCACTTCGCATTCATCCCTCCTTATTACGTCTTACTAATCTAAATAACAACATTCCATGATACCGTTGTAGAGTATTGAGATTAGATTTCAGCACATATTAACTACACCTCAGATTATTTAATTTACTTATTTATTTAAATACATAAACACTGGTACAAGGAGGCATCAAATAGATATGCGCCACATAAATCATTCGATTTGTGTGAGGGCTAGGATACTGCCCGAGTTCCCAAACAGAAGCCGGTGGTTTTCTTAGGGGGCCACACCCAGAGCCTTCGACCTAAAGGGATGACCCACAAGGCAGTGGAGCAACATCAGGTAGAAGGTGATCAACATCTAGTTCATACGTCATTTGTTCCTTCAGGATCCTGGTGTCCATGTGCACCATTGGTTTGAAACTAGGGTTTTCCAACTCTCCTTAGTGGACCCTCCGTGTTCACCAACCCGATTAAAGCACTGGACATTGGCTTTTCGTCCTCTCAATTTCGTAAAGAACACGTCTGCTGGAAGAAGGTAGTGAGTAGGACTTTCCTGGTAATGGTTGCATTCACGTGGCCATGTGAGAGGATTTCGAGAGAGAGAGAGATAACTCTTCCCATTCTCGACTGTACCAGGGCATTTGCAACCGCAACTGTGGGTTTTATGCTTTTGGCTTTGTTACTTAAATATAATATATACGCTATACAAATCCATAATACTTTATAAATTTTATAGTAACATAAATATGAAGTTCGATAAGAAGTACTTTTGTGTAAAGTTATATCCTTTTTCTCTATATTTACATGTTAGAATTTTCATTATACATTTTATTATTGTCAGCATATTTTTCTTACGTGTTGAGTTATTATCAATCACTTCTATCTTCAAAGGATAAAAGTAATTCCAGGATTTCCATGGTGCTCTAGCTTCAAATGACCCATGAATTCAACTATTAAAATTGCTATAATCTCCACAAAACCCCTTTGTGATTATTATCATTACGTGCTAACTAGTGACGGTCTCCAATAGGTATTACCTGGAGTCCTGGTGACCAATGGAGATCAACCGGGTTTGTCCTGTGATAGTGATTTACTGACGACAATGACGGATGGTTGCACAACTTCGTCGATTGGTTGAAGTTGGACATTAACACCGTTGGATGCCGACTCAGTGGTCAAGTGGTTAAGACTGATAGGTCCTGGGTTTGAATCTCGTGGGACAGGATCGTGGATGCGCACTGCTTCCAAGTTTTCCATTGTATTCTAGCTTCAATCAACTCATGAATTCAACTATTAAAATTATTATAATATCAAAAAAACCCTCTCTGATTATAAAAGTATACATTTTTCATTATTTATTAAAGTGATTCTCACTAAGTTTTAGTTAGGGTGACACTATAATTTATAGACGACCAATGACAGACGCTAAACTGACCTTGAGAGTGTCCACCTAATAACTAGGACCAAATGAGGGTTATAAGCCAATGTGAGGAATTAGAATTATGATTTACAATTAATGAATAGAGTAAGGAATTAGATTTCGGGTTTTCATCATGAATTGACATCAGCCATCATGCCAAAACTCTACTTAACCAAATGGTTGAGTGGATTTCGTGCCAGAATCTGAGATCTGTTATCTTATACGTGATTGGTTCATCCATAAATTATAATCTCGCCTTAGTTAGTGCTTCTACATCACTATCTTTGTCTATCCTTAACCATTAAATTTGATTCAATATGTCTACTTTTTATTGCTTTCAACGTTATAGATATTATAATTGAATGCATTTTATTTTTAACTCTATCTACTTAATTAATATGAATATTTGTTAGTATTTGAATAAATAGTTTGACAGGGATTGAGCGTCAAATGTATAACAGGTATTATGTGTAAATATTATATTTGAAATCATCTCAATAATTGAAATTTAAATAATTTTAAAGTTTCGTCCAGTGATATTGTATGAACTTCTTCAGAGAACTACCACAGAATTTATACCGTTTAACAAACAAAGAAATCATCAACGAACACTTATTAATTCATATTCAAATGTTAATATTGTCAAATAGGGGAATATATGGATTAGTAAGATATGAATAGTGTGGAACGTTTAGAATATGAAAATGAATGAATGAATATGTATGTATAGATTTATGTTGTTAATAGCTAAACTTTATCATTATTTTCCATACTCTCTCGTCGTTTATTATTTTTCTTCATCCCCTCCTACCATTTTCTTTTTTTCTCAAATATACGTTTCACTGTCCAATTACCTGAACACTTATTACATAATCTTATAATTTTTATGAATGTTAATTCGGTGTCTATATATTTTTTTCTAATCATTGACCTATTTCCCATTAAGCCTTTATTACTCTTATTACAATTAGTACACCTATCATCACAGTACTAATTTGTACTTTTCACTTCATTGGTTTAATAATTTCATATATGCATATAAATATTACTGTATATTAGCGTAAAGCCTGATGAGGATCTAATTGAAAACAATATTGTTTACTTATATATGTTGTTCTAAAATTTGTTGGATAAATTCAGTCTCTGTCTATCATCAAGCATGTATTACTTTCGATAGTGCAACAAAAAGACGAAGATTATCAGAACTATGTGATGGGATATTAGCGCAACACATTTCGATTAGTCTGATCACACATAATGTACTTGTTAAGAACATTTACATCTGAAGAATAAAAGGTCAACTAGTCTAGAAATGGAGGGTAAAAGCAGACAACGATAATTAAAAAAATAATAATGTGAAAACAATTTGAAACCTCATCATTCTGGATAATAAGCTAATATTACTAGGGTAGGTTTAAGGTGTAAACAAACTGTTCTTTGAATACATAGGGGGGGTTGAATTTTCGTATGGTTAAGACTTCAATAGTTCTGATTATCTTCATCTTCCTATTACACTATCGAAATTTATCAAAGAACCTAGTAGCTTTAAATACATGCTGATCGTTTTGTTTATTGAAAATTATAGTACAAATCAGTAGATTCTCTTTTTTGATCTTCAAAGTTTATGCAAAATGTGAAGAGACGAACGGATACTCATGACATTAAACCACAGAGATTAAATTTTTTATTGAAGTAAACAAAATGATTCACATGTAATTGATAATAGACAAAGACTGAATTTATGTAATAAACTTCAACTATTAATAACATAAACCTACACATACACATTCATTCTTTTGCATATTATTCACATCTTATTGACCAATATTTTCATACTTGATAAAATCAACACCTGAATATCATTAGATAAGCTTTCAGTGAAGATTTCTTTGTTTGTTAAACGGTATAAATTCTGTGGTAGTTCTCTGAAGAAGTTCATACAATATCACTGGACGAAACTTTAAAATTATTTAAATTTCAATTATTGAGATGATTTCAAATATAATATTTACACATAATACCTGTTATACATTTGACGCTCAATCCCTGTCAAACTATTTATTCAAATACTAACAAATATTCATATTAATTAAGTAGATAGAGTTAAAAATAAAATGCATTCAATTATAATATCTATAACGTTGAAAGCAATAAAAAGTAGACATATTGAATCAAATTTAATGGTTAAGGATAGACAAAGATAGTGATGTAGAAGCACTAACTAAGGCGAGATTATAATTTATGGATGAACCAATCACGTATAAGATAACAGATCTCAGATTCTGGCACGAAATCCACTCAACCATTTGGTTAAGTAGAGTTTTGGCATGATGGCTGATGTCAATTCATGATGAAAACCCGAAATCTAATTCCTTACTCTATTCATTAATTGTAAATCATAATTCTAATTCCTCACATTGGCTTATAACCCTCATTTGGTCCTAGTTATTAGGTGGACACTCTCAAGGTCAGTTTAGCGTCTGTCATTGGTCGTCTATAAATTATAGTGTCACCCTAACTAAAACTTAGTGAGAATCACTTTAATAAATAATGAAAAATGTATACTTTTATAATCAGAGAGGGTTTTTTTGATATTATAATAATTTTAATAGTTGAATTCATGAGTTGATTGAAGCTAGAATACAATGGAAAACCTGGAAGCACTGGACGACCGTTTGTCAATCGTTTGACTAAAAATAATTATATTCATGGATTGGTTGAAGTTAAACATTAACACCGTTCGATCCCTACCGGCTCAGTGGTCTAGAGGTTAAGCGTTTGCTCACGATTCCGACTGGTCCTGGGTTCAAAACTGGCAAAGTGGAATCATGAATACACACTGCTGAACACTTTCATACTAGAACGAAACGGTCGTCCAGTGCTCTCAGGTTTTCCATGTTGGTCTAGCTTTAACTGACTAATGAATTCAACTGTTAAACAAATATTCATTTTGTGTAATCAATTGGGAATTGAGCTATTTTATTGAAAACTGTTAATACTGTCTTATTACTGGAACCGAATTAAGTGAATAAAGATTATTGACTAGTTTCCTAATGTTATGAGTCGATTCTTGGAGGACACTATAGGATCTTCTCATGTAAAAACTATAAATATAATAACTGTTTTCCTATTGTGCTTCTTACTTGCATCTAACCTTGTTACTTAGAAAATAATCTCTTTCCTGTTCAACTGTGCTCTGATCTGGGGACTTGTCGAGTAAATTGGTGTTCAAGAATAGTAAACAGTAGGAATAGCTGGGTTGTAATAAGAGAGAAATATAACAAATATACAGACAAAGAAAGAGTTCCGTTAAACATCTCTTCTAACTAAGTTGATATCGCAAGGCAACAATAAATTGATCAGGTCGATAAGTATAATCATCAAATACTTTGTTTTGTCGCAATGAAATGATTTTTAAATTATCAGAAGGGGTTTGTGGAGATTTTAGAAATTTCACAGATTGAAATCATGAGTCAATTGAAGCTACACCACTATGGAAAACCTGGAAACACTGGACGGCCGTTTCGTCGTCTGCTCACTGGTGACTGACTTCAAGAGATACTTCTGGAGTTCTAGTGAGAAGCCGTTACCAGTGGAGTTCAACCAGGTCTGTTGTGAGATATCAACTCACTGAAGACAATGGTGTACGGTGGCGCAATTTCGTGGAGTGCTTGAACTTAGATATTAACACCGTTGGATGCCGACCGGCTCAGTGGTCTAGTTGGTCAAGCGCCTGGCGCGAGACTGATAGGTCCTGGGTTCGAAACTCACGGAGTGGGGTTTTGTGGATGCGCACTGCTGAGGAGTTCCATACTAGGACTAAACGGCCGTCCAGTGCTTCCAGGTTTTCAATGGTGATCTAGCTTCAACTGACTCATGATTTCAATGAGTGAGATTTTAAATTGTTTACTTAACATTCTATTTCTTCATTAGGTAATTTATAACTAACTTCTGGTTTACTTTATTCTATTTCTCTTGTTGTATAAACTACTCAGTGTGTTGAATAAGTAACTTGTATGTGGTAAATAATAAAATCAGTACCCAGTGATTTTAGAAAACCTTTATATTTATTATATGAGCTTCTCTTTTCTCTAAGACTTCAAATATTCATTTTTTTAATTTTGATTTAAAAATCAAACTCAGTCTATGGAGTCAATTCATAAGATGCTGAGAAAAACCATTGTGAAAGTATCACTTTTGATGATCTGTTTGGGACTTTTGCTCATTTGAGTGAAACATCTGAAGTTTAAATATCTTTCTGTTAGGTATGCAGAGGAATATACCAATAATTATCGCGTTAAGTCGAATGGTGACCTTGGACGTTAAATGGGCATTTCCTATTGGTCGATATTTATCTTGTAGTGACTCACGTTTATCACGAGAACACGACTGGTTTAATAAAAACAATTATTATTATAACCAACTGTACCAGTGTTTGTTTTAACGTGCTTTTGTTTGACTGTGCTAATGACAGCTATTTTGTGCTTCCATTCTTTCACTTACACTTTGATTGTAACTTCGCGCGAATTCGGTTACCTTCTGTAACCAAGGTTGTATCCTGGCACGATCTCGGTATCCTTTCGATGCCACGAGATCGCCAGCAAATAAACCTCGACTTGGTCCATTAATTGCCTTCTGATACTCGTCTTCTCGGGGATTTTATGGAGTCATTTGGAACGAGCTTCTTACGCCTTCTGATTCGCTAGGCACGTGTTTCTTGGTAGCGGTGTTCATAGTTAATCTCAACTCGACGCCACGCTACAATCTCACTTGTTAAATATTGTGTAAATGTTGTTTTCCATTTTATGGTACGATGTGGTTTGTTTGGTTGGTATATAAACAGAGTATGACTGAAATATAATGATTCATAACTCAGAGGCTGTGACTTGCGTTCTAAACTCAACTGGCTCGGTTAGACAGCGAAGCAGGGCCAATCGGGACTCTAGGTCGTTCATTGCGTGTTTACGTGTCACGGAAGCGATCGATAACTACGCTGCGCATCTAACCTGCAAACCAACCGTTACCACACTTTCCTTATTTCTAACCTATAATTATGACTTTAATATCACATGTTATCAACATATCAACCTTCGAAACATAAATGATCCTTACCAGCAAATGGTACTTCGACCAAGAAACGGTTTAAAATGTTAAAGATGGTTTGAAAATAATAACAAATGCACAGTAACTAATGTCAATGTTTTTTTCACCACATACTTTAGATAATTGAAAGTATATAATACAGCAAACTGTTAAGGTGTTGAATTGAGACTTAAATGTGAACAATATGGAACTTCATGTAACCACACCTCAGCTGAATACAAAGGGGGAAATTTTTATAGGAGACTGAGATGACAGGCAAGGCAAATGCAAAAATTAGTTGTTATCGCAAACATCATGTGGTAATTGAAAAATTAAGTTGTGGCCTAGCTATTGTGAGTTAGCAAATTTGTGGTGTGGTCAAGGTCGCCTCACACATATTGTCTGGATCGGTCCAGTAACTGGATTTGTGTAAATATATAATTAGATCTAGCAAATCAGCTACTCACAAGTTCTTTGTCTTCTCACAACACATCGATGGTCGGCTAAGGGTTAGGTAGGGTACATTGTGACTGAATCAAATTGAAGACTATATCAGAAGCGTGTTCAGAATAAGTTTAGTAACTAACAGATAGTAATAAGATTGTTGAAAATGATTAACGTAGAAATTCTGTGACAAAAAGATACAGTAGTGTTAAAAGGAAAAAAAGATTTGTCTAATTATCGAAAACACTTAATAAATTCTTTGAAACAAAGCATTCAATACTATATTTCTTATTTGATACAACTTACCGATGTATACCGAATTTTTCAAAATTTATATCATTTTTGATAAGTAGTGTGTAATTATAAACCATTGGGAATAAATATGATTTTTTACCAAGCGGTAAAGTATCGTTTTCTAATGGACACCAAGAATATATTTCACATGATCCAATATCATTTCCTGGTTTAATGATACATTTGCCTGTATGAGCACCTGAAAAGAGAATAGACAATGAATGGGTTAAAATATCTAAGTTACAATCCTTTTTTAAATGAACAAAACACAATGACAATTAATTATTGAAATTTTATCTACACAATACAAAATTGTGAAATAGTTCCTTAATTGAAATAATACTTCACCCTGATCAATAAAAACTCCGCCTGGAGTCCCTCCGGGGGCTACTGCCGGTCCCAAACCCGGATAAAGGAAGAGGCTTGGGCATGGGGTTAGCGTCCTTATCCCGTAGAAAACTAACTCGCTAAAAAAACGCAAACCAGAAAAATTATTCCAACCTTTTAAACTCTGCCCTGGGAGTCAGAAGGTCTTCATTTAGAAGAACTATGACGCCTCATGATGAAAGACGAATTCCTTCGGAAGTTACGAGGCCGATGCCCCGTTCTGACAACCAGAGCAACCACTTACTTAGGTATGTAGAATACTCGTACAATGTGGGAGACCGGGAGAGTCTTCCAAATTGCTGCAGAAATGAGGAGATACAACTTAGAAGTGCATGGGATTGGTGATACACGTTGGACGCAAATTGGACAACAACGACTAGCTTCAAGGGAGCTTCTGTTATATTCTGGCCATGATGAAGAAAATGCCCACATACACAAAGAGTTGCATTGATGCTGTCCAAACTAGCACAAAAGGCACTTATAGGATGGGAATCTCATGGACCAAGGATCATCAAAGCCTCCTTCAAAACAAAAAACGAGGGCATTTCAATGATCATCATCTAATGTTATGCGCCTACCAACGACTACAATGAAGATGCTAAAGTTCAATTCTACAATAGGCTGCAGTCAATCGTTGATAGGTGCCCAACAAAAGACCTGACCGTTCTGATGGGAGATTTCAATGCCAAGGCTGGAACGGACAACACTGGATATGAAGACATCATGGGACGACACGGACTGGGAGAAAGGAACAAAAATGGTGGGAGGTTTGCAAACTTATGTGCCTTCAATAAACTGGTCATAGGCGACACCATATATTTCCACATAAACGCATTCACGAAATCACGTGGACTTCACCGGATCACACTACGCAAAACTAAATCAACCATATCTGCATCAGCAAAAAGCTCAAGAGGACAATGGAGGATGTGAGAAGCAAGAGAGGAGTTAATATAGCACCAGGTCATCACCTGCTGGTCGCCAAGATGAAATTGAAACTCAAGAAGTACTGAACAACGGGGCGGACAATATCACGAAAGTTTAATGCGGCTTTTCTTCGGGATACTAACAGACACAACGAATCCAAGATAGCCCTCAGCAATAAATTCCAGGCCTTTCATGATCTACTCAATGGAGAAGGAACTACTATGGGAGCAACTGGAGGGGGATCAAAGAGGCAATCACTTCAACATGTCATGAGGTTCTGGGCCACAAGAAGCACCATCGCAAGGAATGGGTCACTGTTTATACACTGAATAAGATTCAAGAAAGGAGGGACAAGAAAGCAACAATCAATAAAAGTCGAACAAGAGCAGAAAAAGCCAAGGCACAAGCTGAATACACAGAGGTAAACAAACAAGTGAAGAGGAGCATCAGAACCGACAAACGTAAATATGTGGAAGATTTAGCAACGACGGCGGAAAAGGCTGCAAGAGAAGGAAACATGAGAGAACTGTATGACATAACAAAGAAACTCTCTGGAAATCACCTTAAACCAGAAAGACCAGGGAAAAGCAAGGAAGGCAAGTTACTCACCAACATTGAAGAGCAACGAAACAGGGGGGTAGAACACTTCAAAGAACTCTTGAATCGACCAGCTCCACTGAACCCACCCAACATCGAAACAGCACCCATGGACCTCCCAATCGATGTTGTCTCGCCAACAATTGAAGAGATAAGCATGGCATTCAGCAAATCGAGAGTGGCAAAGCAGCAGGACCAGACAACATTCCAGCAGGGGCACTGAAAGCAGACTTTAGCGGCAACTTCAAGGATACTCCACATTCTCTTCAATAAGATTTGGGATGTGGAACAAATACCAAAAGACTGGAAAGAAGGACTCCTGATCAAAATACCGAAGAAAGGTGATGTCAGCAAGTGTGATAACTACAGGGGCATAACTCTTCTCTCAAAACCGAAAAAAAGCCTTCAACAGGGTATTGTTAAACAGGATGAAGGACTGCGTAGACGCCCAGCTTCGTGACCAACATACAAGATTCGTAAGGATAGATCGTGTACAGACGAAATCGCAACTCTACGGATCATTGTGGAACAGTCAATTGAATGGAATTCATCACTCTACATCAACTTAATTGACTTCGAAAAAGAATTTGACAGCGTGGACAGAACAACACTATGGAAGCTTCTTTGACACTACGGCGTGCCTCAGAAGATAGTCACTATCATACAGAACTCATATGATGGATTACATTGCAAAATTTTGCATGGAGGACAGTTGACAAAGTCGTTCAAAGTGAAGACCGATGTCAGGCAAGGTTGCTTACTCTCACCCTTTCTCTTTCTCCTGGTGATCGACTGGATCATGAAGACGTCAACGTCTGAAGGGAAGCGCGGGATACATTGGACACCTAAGATGCAGTTGGATGATCTAGACTTCGCAGACGATCTGGCCCTTCTATCCCAAACGCAACAACAAATGCAGGAGAAGACGAACAGTGTGGCAGCAGCCTCAGCAGCAGTAGGTCTCAATATACACGAAGGGAAAAGCAAGATTCTCCGATACAACACAACATGCACTAATCCAATCACAATTGACGGAGACGATTTGGAAGATGTAAAAACCCTTACATATTTGGGCAACATCATTGATGAACAGGATGGATCTGATGCAGATGTGAAGGCGCGGATCGGCAAAGCAAGTGCGGCATGTTTACAACTGAAGAACATCTGGAACTCAAAGCAACTGTCAACCAGCACCAAAGTCAGGATTTTCAATAAAAATGTCAAGACAGTTCTACTGTATGGGGCAGAAACCTGGAGAACTACAAAAACCATCATTCAGAAAATATAGGTGTTTATTAACAGCTGTCTACGCAAAATACTTCAGATCCGTTGGCCGGACACTATTAGCAACAACGTACTGTGGGAGAGAACAAAGCAGATCCCAGTGGAGGAAGAAATCAGGAAGAAGCGCTGGAAGTGGATAGGACACACATTGAGGAAAGCACCCAACTGCGTCACAAGACAAGCTCTCACATGGAATCCTGAAGGTCAAAGGAAGAGAGGAAGACCAAAGAACACATTACGCCAGGAAGTGGAAATAGACATGAGTAAAATGAACAAGAATTGGATGGAACTAGAAAAGAAGGCCCAGGACAGAGTGGGTTGAAGAATGCTGGTCGGCGGCCTATGCTCCATTAGGAGTAATAGGCGTAAGTAAGTAATCAATAAAGTGATTCTCATTTTGCATAACATCAACTGTGGGATGCATCCAGCTGACGAGTCCCAAACAGGACGTAACGCGCGTCCTGGATTCCGCCGCCAGCCACTATCGATCTTTGCTTAGAAAGCTTGTGACTTAAGGCTATATCGAGGCAATCCTCACAGGATGCACTTATGCCAATATGAGACTGATCAATTGCAGTCCTAAATAACAATGGGAAGATACATGTAAAACAACACCAAGTGAATTTAATGTTCATAAGTATTTTAAATAAAATATAGACTACCACTAACCACGTATATTAGGAATGCGAATCAAAATCTACAGACCTAGAAACGTTTTTGCAAATTCATTTGTCCTTACAAATAAAAAAGATAGAATGATATCAACAATATGTAAATGTTTCAGTGTCTAAATGAAATTGATTGGGCAATCAAAATATATGAAATGATTGACTTTAAGACAGAATTTCCAGGAAAAAAAGATCTTTATATCGTTTCAATTATGAGCGCAGTTACCAACTAAACCATGTTTCAAAAACTTGTTCACCTTCAAACAATGTTACATGGTATTATTCAGATGTCAAATTTACTTAACACTTCGTAAATATTGATGTTAAAGTCTGACTACATATTTATACTGCTAAAGTTGATAGATAATGTCTGCAATTACATTTAATAAAGCTTACTGTATTTTGTAGTCTTATATTTAATGAGCATGAAATTGTGGCAAGTAACACTGAACGTACATTTTAGAATTATTTTCAGTGTGAAGATAATTTAGCTGAAAACAGGTAACTCATTTTTAGATATGATCTTTAAAAATTCTATTACATGGTATTCAATTTATTCAAGAGCCCAAGGTATGAAATAATCAAACTCGATAACAAGGGAAAACTCATAGTTTCTATAATTAATTAGGAAATTATGAAAGGTCGATGCTGATAACATAATATTAATTGAATTTATATACATGAAATTACTGTAAGCATATGCTATAAAACACCTAATGTCATTTTTATAAGCATCTTAAAATTGATGACTAAGAAATAGCATAAAACTTGGGATGTTTATTTTATTTCGCTATATCCATAATTAAATATGAATTTTAGACTGACAAATTATCTTTATTCCGTACTTAATTTTAATAATTAGATTGTAATAAGTGGAAAGGTGCCTAGTTGTTGGGACACCAAAATAAAACTGAAGATAAGTCCAAAATGGCAATTCTATAAGATAAGGATTTCCATTCTACTAAATATTGAGTATACAAACAGTTATGAGTTGGTTAAACTCATGTTTCGTGCAGTCGTTTGTAATAAATTATTAGTAATAACTGTAACAAAAGATAATCATGAAAAATCAGATACAGATTGATAAATCTATTGTATTTCAATTTTTTTGAACGATCGTAGTTTGACAAAGTTTCGTTTTTAAATGTGAGAAGGCGAAGTATTTTAAATTGCTAAACAGACAGTTCTTTATAAAAAAATTGCTGTATTAAAGTCTCAACGGAAGTACTGTACTGCGGAATATTTGAAGAAAAATTAGTAATTAGGTAGTAATAACAGAGTATTGAAGAGCAAACAATCGGATGTATTTTACGAAACTTTAGTAAATGATATCATAAGTTCTGTCCTATATAAAATTGACAAACAGACGAAAACTGTCGTAAGGAATTAAACAAATTAAAAAGACTTTATTCCAAAGTATCTATAAACATTATTATGGGTTTTTATTAGTCATTTTTACCATAGATTACAAGCTTCAAATAATTGCTTCCAAGTCATATTGTTAAACAAACATTTTCCAGCATAGCGTATTCAGATCAATCTGGGTAACTCGTTAAGATCGAGACAATAGTTTTTCATTTTTTGTTTGTGCTTGTTTACATCCCACAGTTTAATTTTAACAAACTACCAGTTGTCAAAGTCAAATGTTCTTACATTCAGTGGTTTAGTCGCAGATACAGCACCATGAACTCCGTTAAGCTAACTGAGAAATATATTACTTGCTTTTATAACTATCTAACCCATGAAAGGTATATATAAATAAGAATTTAGAGATGCGAAAAAAACATAAAATTGTGTACGAGTGCGGAATCTTTCTGTAAATGTTGATTCAACTGATATTTAATTCTGAACAACTTCTATTGGAGGGATATCATATTTTTTCATGGATTGAAATGGAGTCTTGATTTTGATAGTTAAAACAAGGTATTATATCAGTTTAACCTAGAGAAGGTGATGTGGATCAAATCATTATTGAAGACAATATATGTAAAAACAAGTGGATTTAATGAAATTTCAGTTGAAATGAATGCTATAACATATCCTAACTGATATGGTTTAGCATGGCTAGAATAGTAATCATAAAGTATAGAGCCTCCAATCAACTGATTATTGATTTAAAACTGAGATACACAATTACGACCTGATGATTGAAGTGTCTCCAAAAACTTATTCGAAGAAAATTTTAAAACGCTGTCCAAGTGATTTGAAAATTCAGATTTGACAAGAACCTCACAATCTAGACACCAGTCCAATAAAATATATGTTTTGTGATATTTGATAAAAATCAGAACTCCTCGACAGTCTTGCTAACCACAATCCAGTCAGAGATCAAAATGGTTCGTAAAAATCCATGAACTAGCTAGGGAATCATTTAATAAATAAATATTAAAATGATAGAAGTAAATTTAAGTTAAAGCGCTTCTAGATCTTATGTAACAGATAAAGACTGTGTTTAATGATTGAAATTCTAATTTTATACAGCAATATATGATAATTTTGAACATCAAAATCAATGTCAAGGATAAATATGGCTGTCACTACCAACTTACCATTGCCAAGATGGGTAATAAAATAGGGTTTACAGTCTGAGTCTTTATAACAAGCTGCCTCGGGAACCCATGAACTCTAGAAAATGTATTATGCCAAAGGAACTACCTCTGGGCACTTGGAAAGTGACTGACGTTCAGTTTTAACCAAGTTGGTGATCACAAACAGTGCATTATTTTCCAAAGGTGGTACTATATAATCCGCCACGTCCCAACTCCGTATCCCGATCCCCGGGATATGCGAAAAGTTTGTAAAGCCGACACCTTTTACTTTAGTCGTGACTGCACTTTTAGCTATATCATTCTCTTGATATCCCTTCTCATAAATCATAACCCAGCTGTTTTAAACAAACAACCATAAGTTTTAATAATAATTTACCAAACGACATATATAAGTATAACCAATTGAAGTAGGCGTTGAGTAACTCCAATTCTAATGTTGGAAATCTGTACAAGTTTTGGAGTTTCATATTCAAAAAGGACAGCAATCCCCTTAACCATTTGTTTACGAGTGCCTACATATGTCGAGTTTTGAAAGTTCTCCGCTTATAACAGCAGTCAAGGTCATAATTGTTATCAGGTATTCTAATTGGAAAAACAAAACTGCGAAATCTGAAATAGTTTCCACGAAAATACTTAGTTGATTATTTTAAATCGTTTCAAATGGTTTTAAGGAAAACAGAATAGGCAATCGCTGGGCAGGATTCCGTGTCTAGTGACAGTGGATCACCGAACCTGCTAGGTAAGAACCTATGTATATTTAACGGTAGAAGGGAAAGGAAACTAGTAAATCATAGTGAAACACTATCCTCGTTCCCCAAGAACATGCCAAGTTTTATCTCATTGGACTTCTGAGAAGTCTCTTGGACTAGCTTGGTCATCAACAAATTTCACTCTTAAGGAGTAGGTGTGCCTATAATCCGTTCCTCCGTGTTGTGTCTCCAGTTTCAAAGTGTTACCCCTAAGATTTGTATTGTGATTGAGCTTAAATAAGTGTTTAAGGTGATGCTGTAAGTCGTTAGAAGGTCACCTCTAGGTAGTCTATACTCAAATAAGTAAAGGTCCAGTGATTTGATGCTCTCTTCATAAGGTTTGATTTTGAGTCCTCGATCTGATATCGTGATTCGCCATTGGATATGTTCTGATGTGTCCTTATCCTTTTGGAGTGGTGGAAAAGAAATACTATGTATCTATACACTAGATGAGGTCGAATGAATGTGTTGAAGATTAGGTGGAAAGTTCTTCTACGCAGTTAGCGTAAGACTTATTTCCTTTTCAACTTAGGATACCTTTAGAAAGGATTTACCTGTTGTATTCGTAGTTTGCAACGTGCTAGATATACTGCTTTACACTTTGAAATGTTTAAGGTAATCCCATTGTTGCCCGTACAACTTTGAAGTTAGGTCAGATCCTTCCTAAGTGTAGTCTTATAATCCTCATTGCAAACTTTTCTACAGAGCTTCACCTCACTAAATAAAAGTAACAAATCGGAATATACTTGTTATGGAGAATTATTAATATCATTGAAAAAAGCGGGTCCTGGCACTGAACCCTGAGGGGCCCACTATGACATTAGATAACCTTAGAGAAATCAACCTAATCGTTTGGCCCCATTGTTAAGGCATATTTGGTTGACCCTGTCAAAAGATGTCAGAAGTCAAAGTATTTGACATTATCCTCCCCCTTGTGATCAAAGATAGTTGTCCGTCTGTTCCACACGGTCAGCTGGTTGGTCATACAAGAATAACCGTTCCTGAAACCATGCCATTGAGCTGAAAGGTAGTTGGTGGATAGTAAGTATTCATGTATGCCATAGTTTTTTATGGTATTGAGAGAAGTGTTACAGGCCTGTTGATCAAAATCAGTCTGACGTGAGTCAGTGCCTGCTTTTCTGGTACCCTACATCGTCTTAGGGAATATGAGAGCCTCACGATAAGCGGTGTTGTCACGATTGAAGCTGCTTCCGTCAGTTTGGCGGAATGGAACATATACGGACCAGGGGAGGTTGTAGTGTCATTGAACCATAACCAAATAATCCTCAAGGCTGAACACGAGACTACTCGGAAAACAGATATTCAATATTTAACGCGGAGAAATACCCAACGATGGAAAAGGCGGGGATAATGAGTTGAATGGATAATAGTTAATCGTATGGTCCCTTCGGAATGTTACCTTATATCTTTTATCTGTATTAAATATATTGTTCTACCTCTAGCATAAGTTTGTTCTCTATCATATGTTGGTAATTGTTATGATGTAGTGAGTTGGTGTAAAGGATGATGTGACTTCCACGTAAGATCTTATAGATTAGGCAGTTATATAATGACAAATCTACAATTATAGGATTAGGTCTATTATTAGAGCAGTACTAATATCATAGTAGACCGTTGGTAAGCTTAACTAAAGAAACGCAACCTAGTGCTGTTAATCCGTATTTCCACTTTAAATTTCTCGATCGATTATATTTGTGTAAACCTATTATTCTAATAATCCTCTGATTAATGCTCACATGTATTATCGTAATGTTGAATTGATCAGTTCTCATTATTTACTAGCACGATCGATACTAATCACAGATCACCTATATTAACTAATTAACTCCGCCTGGAGTCCCTTCGAGGGTTACTGCCGTTCCCAAGACGGGATAAAGGAGGAGGGTTGGGCACGTGGTTAGCAATCCCTTCCCGTAGAACACTGACTCTCTGAAAAAAGTCTAACCAGAAAAATTTCTCAAACCATTTGGACTCTGCCCTGGGAGTCAGTAGGTCTTCATTCAGGAGAGTTATGAGGCCATCTGATGAAAACTACCTACCAACGACTACAATGAAGATGCTAAAGTTCAATTCTACAATAGGCTGCAGTCAATCGTTGATAGGTGCCCAACAAAGGACCTGACCGTTCTGATGGGAGATTTCAATGCCAAGGCTGGAACGGACAACACTGGATATGAAGACATCATGGGACGACACGGACTGGGAGAAAGGAACAAAAATGGTGGGAGGTTTGCAAACTTATGTGCCTTCAATAAACTGGTCATAGGCGACACCATATATTTCCACATAAACGCATTCACGAAATCACGTGGACTTCACCGGATCACACTACGCAAAACTAAATCAACCATATCTGCATCAGCAAAAAGCTCAAGAGGACAATGGAGGATGTGAGAAGCAAGAGAGGAGTTAATATAGCACCAGGTCATCACCTGCTGGTCGCCAAGATGAAATTGAAACTCAAGAAGTACTGAACAACGGGGCGGACAATATCACGAAAGTTTAATGCGGCTTTTCTTCGGGATACTAACAGACACAACGAATCCAAGATAGCCCTCAGCAATAAATTCCAGGCCTTTCATGATCTACTCAATGGAGAAGGAACTACTATGGGAGCAACTGGAGGGGGATCAAAGAGGCAATCACTTCAACATGTCATGAGGTTCTGGGCCACAAGAAGCACCATCGCAAGGAATGGGTCACTGTTTATACACTGAATAAGATTCAAGAAAGGAGGGACAAGAAAGCAACAATCAATAAAAGTCGAACAAGAGCAGAAAAAGCCAAGGCACAAGCTGAATACACAGAGGTAAACAAACAAGTGAAGAGGAGCATCAGAACCGACAAACGTAAATATGTGGAAGATTTAGCAACGACGGCGGAAAAGGCTGCAAGAGAAGGAAACATGAGAGAACTGTATGACATAACAAAGAAACTCTCTGGAAATCACCTTAAACCAGAAAGACCAGGGAAAAGCAAGGAAGGCAAGTTACTCACCAACATTGAAGAGCAACGAAACAGGGGGGTAGAACACTTCAAAGAACTCTTGAATCGACCAGCCACACTTAACTTTGGTGTTTGAATGAACTAATGACACCATTGTACTTGTTGAATGCTTGATTTCGAATTCCAAATACAGTACATTCTTTTGTGGCTATCTAGTACTTCTTGATCCGATTACGTTATTTCAGAGTTTCTTAGTTCATACTATAATTCAAATACTCTTGATTATCACATTGGCCTGGTGATGGAGCCTGTGATGTAATTGTTGGATAAATATTCAGATTTTTATGCCTTTGAGGATTAGTTTGAAAGGTTCGAAATCTGGGCTATGACCAAGGAAGATGATGAGGATGTTAATATTTTAGCACATTTCCCCACATTCATCGGAAAAGAAGCATAAAGTTTATTTAAAATCTCTGGCTTTACCGGAGAAGCCCATTCCTCTGCCGTATACAGCTCTCAAGGAACTACTGCTAGACTATGTTAAGTATACAAATTTCGAATGCGGCAAAGGAAGATTTCATGATTCATGAATATATAAGAAATTTCAATGCATTATGTCAACCCAACCCAGTGCATACTCAAGGTTATGCAGATAATTCATTGAGGAGTTGCGATGCAGCTCATGAAGATGGGCATAAGTTTAGTCAATGTTGGTCCGGTCGCAAGTTCCACTCTTTTATTTTCTGTAAAATTTCGTGATTCTAAGTGCTTTAAATGTGATGATGTTGGACATATTCAGTCAGTCTGTAATACTAATGTCCATCTTGCTGCATTTAATATTAATTCTTGTAATACTGATTCTATTAAGTTGATTATTTACAATTATCATTTATCTTTGTCAACGATTTCAAAAGACAGTGTAGAGTCATATAGCAGTTCAGAGTTCAATGAAACTCAGAATTCTTGCGAGACAACAGTTTCTAATCAATCGACTTATCACATTTTTCATGTTATTAAATCAGATATGGTTTTTCCTAATCATTCACTTATTTCTGACGAAATTCCTTGCAAATCTGAGGAAAATATTGTAGTGGTAAATAAATCCCCAAAATAAATAGCTCTAAGTTTTCGACATTGGATGCTGACCATATGTTTTAGTGAACTCATCTAGCTGAAGGCGCTCGGTCATGCATCCGTACCAGATCACGTGTGGTAGCGCCGTGCTCAACATCAACCGCAATTGCTAGCCAGATTAGATCAGAGAATTCCGATATATTGGTCATCGCCAAATATACTCTTCCGATCTCCTCGACTCTGTCTTTTGATTTCTCTGGGTGGGGACGAAATACATTAGAAGGTGTTACTGGTAGAAGCGTTGTCAAAAACTGAATACCTGTGACATCATCAATATGTTAAATGAACCTAGTCATGATCAAAAACCTGATGTGGTTTTGATGGATGCTGACTTTTCTAATGATCCTTGACTCTGCAATGACATGTTTAATAAATCCGAGGAAACTATTTCAGAAGAGTCAAATCTTGATGTCATACCAAATATTATTTGTCCTCATAATGCATTTGTTTCTTGTGGGAAACTTGTTTAATGTGAAGCACGAGTACTAAATGAGCTCGATTTTAATTACAATTCGGATGATTTCATATCAACTGCTGTTTATCCTTATCACGAAGTCACTTCTAATGTTTACTCTAGTCAATGTGCGAAATATGTTTTGAATTAAGCCACATCATTCATAAATTGGAGGATAGTCTAAAAGTCTGTGGTTCAAATCCTAGGTATCAGCGGTTTCAGTACACAACCGACACGCTAATTACACAATCCCAGGAAGCAGG